AAGCTGTTATTCTTGAACATGATCTCAGTAATTCAATTAAATTCTAGGACACACAATTAATAACATATACCTACAGCAGCTTAATGCTGCTGTGTTTCGTAGGGTGAGTGTAGAGAACCGGAGACCCGTTTTACTGGAATTGAGGTATTCCATCTTAGTCCTCAGGGGTGACAACGCATCTGCATTTTGATTCTTAATCGAGGTTAAATGTAGATGTCTATGGGCCACAGCATCCACTTACCATCAGGTGGACTGTGTGCTCGTTTGTGACCCTAATTCGTTAAAAAAATATATTTTAAAATCTTCCTATAGCTACGAAACACCACTTTCGCTTAGAGCTGCACGATGTTGTTCGGCACATCTCACATGTGGTTATCTTTACCGTCACAACCTATTCAAGTCCACTTCTCAACTTAGGCTTCCCTGTAGATTGCCTCATAGGGGAGATATTTGCCATAGTTGCTATGCTTGGCAAGCGAGCGGGTAACCAAAGTTTTTCATTTAAGTCGTTATTAGGAAAACGATGCTATCCATCTCCTGATTTGTTCCCCCCTGTCGACTCTTACGACACCATCGGGATGATATGGTATAGTGGATATTCTTACACCGCCACTAAACCGGTCACGATCATCTGACATAAGAAGGTGTAAATATACATAGTTTCTTTTTCTAGTCCGCTTTAACGCTTCTACGGTGTGCATAAAAGATATTAAATGCAATCACTTCCACGTCATGCAACTTGTCAGAGGGAACGAACTGAACCTGGCATGGATGTTCGCTGCTTCATCTGGCGATGTCGCGCTGGCATTTCGATGGGGTATGGGCTCTAAATATAGGGCTTATTTTATTAGATCCGTGTTTTCGATCGGCTGGTTTTCAATTCACGTAACATGAACGCATGTTACATGTGAACGGGTTGCGTGAACTAACTTTATTCTAGCCCTATAAGGGCATTATCCAATCGTGCAGACTTGTCAGCATCTATATAAATACGTAGGTAACATAACCACTGTTTCTACACTACTATTTATATGTACAGCCCTTTACTTATTGGTTGCAGCTTGTGGGTTAATGACCACAATTAGCTAGTTGTCTAGTAAACAAGTTTTATAACAAAAGATTGCATATTTACAAGGAAAATTACGTTAGTTCGACGCATTTGTGGCTATTCAACATTCGATTTATTCTATTAGGTGCCATTAAATGTCTTTGGTAGGATTCTGATGAAATTTTAAATAATATGAATAACATAAGAACCTAACAACTATATAATAAAAACGATTTACGTGGTAAAATCAAGCTACAGCTATATTATGGTTATACACGAATATGTCGTAGGTTCAACCGAGAAAGGACCACGCTCTTACAGAAAACCAGCGTATCATAGTAGCTTAATGTATATGCATATGCTGTGTTTTAAATAGTGAGTGTAGAAAACCGGAGATCCTTTTTACTGAAATCGTGGCATTTGATCATAGTCCCTGAGGATGAAAAGGCAACTGCATTTTGATTCTTAATCGAGGATAGATGTAGGTGTTTATGGACCATATTATCAACTTACCACACTGGCGGACTGTGTGCCTTCCTTATTTAATAAGAAACCTATTAAGTAAATTCTATTAATTTGTGTAAGAATGGGTATGGTCCTTTCTAAATAATAACACATAAATGTAGTTGTGAACCTAGCACATGACTATAAAGAAGAATCAAGGTTGTATTTTGTATAGTAATAGATTATTTGTAACAAAATGAATATCTTTATAAGTTTCACATTTTTAGTAATACAAACATATATTATATAGCACACGTACCTACTTATGATAATAATATATAATAATATTTATCTTTGGTTTTATTAAATAATTACCTACAGAAAAAAATATTATACGAATGAAAACATTTCAATAAAAAATCTCCCTAGATTATCTTTATAATATTATAACAGGATATTCCATCACACACAGTTATTGTAGTGTACAATGTTATATATACGTTACGTAACGTTAAAAAACACAACGCGGTGTGGTCCATTTAAATTATCCCAACGTGATATTTATATTGCAACACGTGTAGACAGTCCGCGACGTGCCATGGTTTTCACGGGATTCAACCACTATACATACAGTATTTCGTATCTTTGCAATATAGATTCTGGTCCTAGACTCCATTTTTTATTTATTTAACGTCGAACAATATAAGTTTTACAAAATGTTCGATAATGTTTGGCAAAAATACGCACTTTATAGAAAAACGTGTTTATTATCAAAATAAACTTCAAGAGTACACAATTTTATTCATAATTACTCTATGTAAGAAATAACAATACGCGTCGTTACTCTTTTACGCTTCCTCTCATTCTTAAGAGTTTTGAAACATGGAGAGGCCACTGTCATTTCAAAGACATGCAGATTTCCCCACGATGTTTTACTTCAACACCGCGCACTTGGTACATCAGCAGATAAAAATGCAATTAAAAATTTCATCAGTGCCTGTGGAAGTACTATGAAATTTTAACAACCACAATATAAACATAACGCACTATTGTTTTTCGCTCATAAGCGTTTTCGTTATTAGAGCCAAACATAATACTCAAGATGGAATTCAGTAAACATTTAATATCTGTACAACTTCACTTGAATTCCGCAAGACATAGCGAAAAAAACGCAAAACATTAATTATGAATAAATACACCTTTTAAAAGCAATTATTACTTCGTCGATCAAAAGATATCCTTCGCAAACTTCACGTTATCTTTTCTTTCACATGTCTCATCTGATATTTATTATCTGTAGAACTTGAGAAACAGGCTCTCTGAATACATAGTTTCATAAATATGTATTCCCGCAGTCATATTTTAATCGAAAATGGTCAGTAATTTAGTCAGTTAATTTATAATATCGCAAAAGACATTATCTTATTAATGAAGTTTCTTTTTAGTGACGAGTTGACGAACATTTACAAACGCGTATTAATAAGTACCTACATTTGAACATAAAAAATATTCGTAAACAAGACGTTTAAAACTCTTTATGCGTCAGGGATCAAAAACTACCAAGTAACAAAAACTTTAATTGAGTTTTTCTTATTGTAATAAAATATCTAAATACCTTTAAAGAAAAATAATTTATTATCACTAGAGCCCTACTTAAAATCCACTGCTTGGCCTATGAATTGCACTGCGAAACATAGGCCCTCACAAATTTTTTAACAAAACACAGTGCTTACTTACATTGAAACCCTGTATGTTTCATCAATTTAAGTGGGGTTTCGCCCAACATTGGGCGTACCAGCCTCATACTGGTTATATGGCCTGCCCATTGCCACTTCATCCTGCTTTTTTCTTTGGACTATGTCAGTTACTCTTTTTCTGCTGTGTTGGTCACGCCGAGAAAAAATCAACACTGGCAACACGAGCAGCTCAGACAAAGAATCACACAAGACCGTGAATTGACTTTGATTGAAGTCTATCTGTGATTAAAACTACTTTTACGGATTTTATCGCGTTTATTTTTACTTTTTATTTACTTTTATTAAATAAAAGTAAACGCGATAAAATCCGTAAAAGTAGTTTTAATCATGTATAGTGTTCGCGTAAATATAAGAAGTCTATCTGAATAACTAACAGCTTAAAAAGTTAAAAACAGAAATCGCTATAATATGTGAATAAAATATCTGTTTAAAAAATGGTCTACAAATTAACTTAATGAAATCTCAATTCGGAAGATATACAGTTTCAAATAGATATACATATTTTAGTAAGAAAACTATTTTTATTTTGTATCTAAGAAAAAACCGAATACCTTGTGAAATCGGTGCTGTAATTTTTCGATACACTGTGAGTGTGACCCAGCAAGGCTATATATATTAACTAGAATGTCGTCTAAATAGCTAAAATTATATATTCACTTTGAGATGAAATTTTTCTTCAAAATAATTTGGGAACACCAACTCTAAAGTTTAACCTATTTAATTAAAAAATAATGATTTTACTCAGTTCAGCCCCTTCCGGTTACATGCATACAAATATACGCGTCGATTAAAGAATGTCCTCGTTTTTGAAATCATTGATATTAATAAATATATAAGAATAATCATAACGTCATCATTATGATTATAGCCTAGTGACTAAAGGGTTTGATGGGCTGGTGCTTGGAGCCCGGGAGCCATGGGTCTAAATCCTATACGGAATATTTATTTGTAAGAACTACATTTTATATTTGTACAAATAATTGTTCTGGGACTGGAAGATGGTCTATGAGCTATTTATGATTCCTTTACGATACGGGTGAAATTCTTAATATGCGGAAAAGTATTTTAAGACAGAAAACTAGACAATGTAATCGTATACAGACAAACATATCGTAATACCTACTATTATTTTAAAAGAAAACTAAATCCTTTCATAAAAATTCACATGCGTGTATTTATTACGGTATGTGGCTTAAGAGGATAATATCCGGATGACGATTAGTCCTTACAAACGAAATACTATGTTTTCCCCCAGGATTATATTTTTAACGATATAATCTATATCGACCACTGTCATGATCATATGTATGTGGAACTAATTATTTTAAAAACTAGGAACCGTCTAAAACTACTAGAACTGTCGAGTAACAGCGCCGTTATTACACATTCAGCAATCAAATTCAACCTTCATAAAAATTAAACAAAAATGTAAAGACATAGCCACAATCCTTCTTAAAATTTTCTAAGGAAAGATCTGCCTAATTTTGGAAGAGAAAACAGGGGAGCGCAGAGTGACAATTGCATCAAATTTTTACAGGTATAATCACTCCGAGCTGCAGTTGTCCCTCCCGATTGTTTAGCTCGGTCGTTCGGACACAACGCGACAGAAATAATATATCTTCGGTAAAAAACCTATTCTTCAAACTTCTTGCAGCCCATATAGCAAAAATTGTATGAAATTAAACATATATTTTCCAGGAATATATTATGAACTATACGTGCGTCAACGAAATATATATATTTATATTTACCTTAGGATCAAAACTGAATGCGGTCTCCGGTCGTAAAGGGCAAGGCAGACCGCACTTGCACGTCCCCGTTGTTTGTAGATAGTCCCGGAGTTGAGGTAGAGTGCTGAGCGCAGTACCGCTAGGACTGCAACAAAGATTATCACATTAACAGAACATTTTAAAAAGTAATTAATTTACATTTTAAATCAAGTGAAGTTTCGTCAAAAATGCTGATGCGACTAAGATGAGGACTAAAACGAAATGCCTCATTACCAGTTAAATCGGCTCTCCGGTTCTCGTCACACAAAACACAATAGTATTTTGCTGCTATTTCACGTTGTTGTTCTGTGCTAACGTTGTCCTTTCCCTGTTGAACCGACCCATTTATGTTGCAGTGGTGGCTATGCTCCAGAATGGATCTACCATGGTTAAGGAAAAGTTTGGTCGAATGAGTGTGTCTGTTTGCGCGTATGCTTGTCGCATTATATTATATGCTACGCAGTTGCATATAATGCGACATTATATTACATTATATTAACTATAGAACATCATATTACGCTATACGTTAACGGGTATAAATCCCAGACATAACATTCAAAGTAGGTATATAATTTCCATAATGTAATAATAATAATAATAATCTACCAGCCCTCCGCATCCATCATCCCCACCAGAAGGCTTGGTGTCGGCTGGGTCTTCTCGGACTCAGCAAGCGGCACCCGCCGCTGGTGGAGCACGTCGCATGCGTTGGTCACAAGAAATGAATGCAAACGCACTGCGGGCGTACTTTAGGGCAAAAGGGGAAGAAACTGGATGTTTGGCGTATCGGGCTAGGATGCATCGTCTTTTTGCTGAGCTGGAGCCATCTTTAATCGTCACAGAGCAAAACCTGGCAGACCGAGTTCGGTATATCTTGCGCTCAAATATATTTGATGTCGCCGAACTCGAACGGCTACGACGTGAGGCTGTTCCCTCGTCGGATGAGAATGCTACGGCTGAGGATGCGGCGCCACAAATGGTAGAGCAACCCGCAAACGTGGATGCCGCCGTGAATACCCCAGTTGTGGTTGATTCAAACGATGATGGAACAGTCGCCCAGGAACTGGAATTAGAGCATATGAGGAGTATATTGGAAGAGGCGATTGTGGAAACGCGCAGTACGCCTCTCGAAAATCGACCGCGACTTCCCCGCATAGCCCTAAGCAAGCGGAATCGGGCTGTCGTGAGGGCTCTGAACCCAATGCTGGTTACCTATTTGGAAGCCAGCCGGGACCTTTGCGAGACGGACTCAATTCTTTTTGGCGCCGCGCTGGCAGTCTGCCGTATCATAGGCGCCAAGGTTTCCACGGCTGGACGCGCTACTGGCCATAGTAGCGCTATCCCAGCATGGAGAAGAAGAATTGAGGAACGTATCGCAAAGGCTAGAGCTCTCATCGGCAGACTGATATGCTTCAGATCAGGCAACAACAGGCCAAGAATTGTGCGCACCGTCAGGATGGCGTTTGCTGGGACAAATGTCAGTTTGTCCCAGCCGGATATAACGCAAAAACTGACGGAGCGCATAGATGATCTGAAGCAGAGAATCGCTGCTTGGGGAAAGCGGATTCGGCGATATACCGAGAGGTCGACACGGTTCAACCAGAATCGTCTCTTCCAGAGTGATCAGAAGAGGCTCTATGAATCATTGGAGCGACCAATGGTAAGTGGAACGGGTCCAGCACCGAATCAGGCCGACACTGTAGCATTCTGGCGCGGCCTGTGGTCAGAGCCCGTAAACCACAGCGAGGGCCCTTGGACGGAAGTTGTGGCGAGTCAGTGTGCGGGTATTACGCCCATGGACCCCGTCATCATAACGCCGGATGACGTAGCTGAGGCGGTTCGTAGGGCCCCGAACTGGAAAAGTCCGGGGCTTGACGGGCTGCATCACTACTGGCTGAAGGGGTTCATGGTGTGTCACTCTGTGCTCGCCCGACAGTTTCAAGAGGCTCTCAACCAGAAGTCGCTCCCAAGCCTCTTCACTACTGGGATCACTCATTTAGTTCCTAAAGACCAGGGTACCACAGACCCGAGCAAATACCGCCCCATCACGTGTCTACCGACCATATACAAGACACTAACATCCATTTTGAGCGCGAGAATCACTTGTCACCTGGACTCAAATCAGGTGATGTCGCGCGCTCAAAATGGATGTCGGGGCGGTGGTCGTGGAACCAAGGAACCACTCCTCATTGACGCGGTCATTGGCAAAGTGGTGAAACGCAACCGTCGGAACTTCTCCGCCGCCTGGATAGACTACAGAAAGGCATTCGACTCGGTGCCCCATACATGGCTAAAGAGAGTTCTCGAGCTGTACAAGATAGACTGTACAGTTAGAGACTTCCTCGAGCAGTGTATGGGGCAGTGGAGTACGATCCTTTGTCATCTAGGCGAGCGGATGATGGCTGCGGAGAACCACATAAGGATAAGAAGGGGTATCTTCCAGGGCGATTGTCTGAGTCCAATCTGGTTCTGCCTCTCTCTGAACCCTCTCAGTACCTTACTGGAGGGCTCCGGGAGGGGATTTCAGCTACGGAAAGGAGGGACAAAAGTGACCCACCTTTTCTATATGGATGACCTCAAGTTATTCGCCTCCAGTCGCTCCCATCTTATGGAATTGCTAAACATCACTTGTGAATTTAGCAATTCCATTGGAATGGAGCTGGGGACGGATAAGTGTGCGGTCCTCCATGTTGAAAGGGGAAGGGTTGCTAACTCTGAGGGCGTAGACTTATCTATGCCCGTCAACTTAAGGACCCTTTCCGAGGCTGAAACATACCGATACCTGGGTATGTCACAAAACATCGGTATCGATGAGACTGGTATGAAACAGTCAGTTTGCGACGTGTTTTATGCACGCTTGACCAAAGTGCTTAACAGCCTTTTGTCCGGTGTGAATAAGGCACACGCATATAACGGCTGGGTCATGCCTGTCCTCATGTATACCTTTGGCATACTCAGGTGGACTCAGACTGAACTTAACGCCCTGGATAGAAAAGTCCGCACTACAATGACGTCCCATAGGATGCATCATCCGAGATCGTCGGTAATGAGGCTGTACTTGCCGCGGAAGCATGGTGGTCGTGGCTTCTTGAGCGCGCTCACCATGCATAATCGCGAAGTGTGCAGCCTCCGTGATTACTTCCTGGCGAGATCGGATGATCCATTCTATAAGGACGTCATTTCTTGTGATAAAGGACTTACCCCTCTATCCTTAGCCAACGAGCAATGGCAAGACCCGGCAGTGCAGAGCATTTCCGACCGGGAGACCGTATGGAAGGAGAAGGAGCTCCACGGGAGGTTCTACAAGGCTCTACATGAGCCTTTCGTAGACACAGTAGCCTCCCTCCACTGGCTACGCTTTGGTGATCTCTTCGGGGAAACCGAGGGTTTTGTCTGTGCAATACAGGATCAGGTTATTAAGACCAACAACTATCGGAGATACATCCTAAAGGATGGCACCGCCGACATCTGTCGAGCTTGTCGCCATCCCGGTGAGTCACTTAGGCATGTTATCTCCGGTTGTTCGGCGCTTTCTAACTCTGAGTACTTGCACAGGCACAACCTAGTAGCCAGAATTCTACACCAGGAGCTCGCTCTGAAATACGGTCTCGTGGATCGGAAATTGCCGTATTACAAGTACTTGCCGGAAGCCGTGCTCGAAAATGATCGCGCCAGGCTCTATTGGGACCGGGCCATCATCACAGACAGGACTATTCTTGCGAATAAGCCTGATATTGTGCTGATGGACCGGGCACAGTCCAGGATATTTTTGGTCGACATTACCATTCCGTATGACGAGAACCTCGTGAAAGCCGAAACAGACAAGCAAACAAAATATCTGGACCTGGCTCACGAGGTGACCGACATGTGGGGTGGTCTGCCGACCGAAATTATTCCTGTAGTCGTCTCTGCAAACGGGCTAATCCCAGTCAGCCTCTCGGGTCATCTGAGGCGGCTGGGACTACGTGGCGGACCGCTCCAGGTTCAAATGCAGAAGGCGGTGCTCCTCGATACCGCCCGCATCATCCGCCGGTTTCTTTCCCTTTCCCCCTAACCCTCGGCCGTTTGGTCTCCCCTGCCGAGGGCCTCCATCTGGTTGGGCTTTTATTTATTTATGTACTTTTATATTTATTTTATGTTATTGATATTTATGTATATTTGTCTTTTCATTTTCATTTATAATTATATATTTATAGCACCCAACCAGATGAGAAAACTATATAGATACCCCACAATAATAATAATAATAAAAGTTATCAAAAGTCATTTATCCGGCGGAAACAAAATTAGAGCATATAACTCCTGGGTAATACCTAGCCTTCTATATACTTTTGGTGTTACAAGGTGGTCTCAAACAGAATTGGATGACTTAGATAGACGAGTCCGTACATTAATGACTACACACAGAATGCACCACCCACGATCATCTGTCATGAGGTTGTATCTTCCAAGAAAGATGGTGGACGGGGCTTATTAAACATTAAAAACCTGCACAACCGTGAAGTATACAACCTCAGAGACTATTTTATAAAAAAAGACACATCACACATTCATAATGACGTAGTGATTAATGACAAATCATCAACCCCGCTTAATATGTCGGCAAAGGACTGGCAGAGGCCTCATACTGTGACTACGGATGAACGCAAAAAGGTTTGGGATGACAAACAACTGCATGGTCGATTTTTTAAAGCATTGACTAATCCTTGTGTAGACATGGTTGCATCAGTACATTGATTACAATTTGGTGACCTTTTTGCAGAAACTGAAGGTTTTATCTGTGCAATACAAGATGAAGTAATTAAAACGAACAACTACCGGAGATACATTCTGAGGGACGGCACAGTTGACATATGTCGCGCATGACACCACCCAGGAGAGTCCCTCAGACATGTTATTTCCGGTTGTTCACAACTATCAAATGGTGAGTATTTGCACAGACATAACCAAGTAGCTAAAATAATACACCAACAGCTTGCCATTAAATTTGGTTTTACTGAACAGGACGTTCCATATTATAAGTATGAACCAAAGCCAGTCCTTGAAAATAGAAGTGTCACAGTGTACTGGGATCGGTCAATTATCACAGACAGGTTTATAGTGGCAAATAAACCTGACATTGTGGTGATAGACCGAACTACACGCAAGGCAATAATAGTGGATGTCAGTGTTCCTCATGACGAGAATCTCGTAAAAGCAGAGAATGATAAAAAAATAAAATATATCGACCTGGCTCATGAGATTGTCGCTATGTGGGACGTTGATTCTACTATTATTGTACCAGTAGTTGTATCAGTCAATGGACTTATTGGTAAAAATATGGACGATTATCTGTCCAAGTTAGGTTTGGGCAAATGGCTGAAAGCATTAATTCAAAAATCGGCCTTATTAAATACTGCTCGAATAGTAAGAAGGTTCCTATCTTTGGATGCCTAACTTCACCGATGGCTTAGAATTCCTCGCCGCGGTGGATAATAACCGAAATAATAATATTATTTATATAGATTGTATTTATATTTATAATATTATAGTTTTGTGATAATATATGTGATAAAAATAAATAATATATAATAAATATATATATATAATAGATCACATCAGAGACCACAGAACACATCACACTTGCGGTAGTTGTGTTTAAATAAATATTTTTCTAATTATTAAGTATTAAATATAAATATTTTAATTTAGTATCTTCTTCATCATCGGCAAAAGACCACTGCTTGATATAGATTTCTCCTGTCCTCATAGATTTGTCTTATTCCCTTGAAGAAATAAATATTAAATATAATTCATTTCGCATTTCAAAATAATTTAGGACCGCCGACCCTGAAGTTTAACCTATTTAACAAAAAAGAATCCTAACAGATATAATTCATTTCACATTTCGCAGTTCGGCACGCATGACCGGCGGATTGGCGATTGCAGTACCAGGCGTCGCACACCTTTAACGCAGCTCCCTGGCCCCGGTCTATTTATTTAACGCCTTGGATATACGGAATGAATGTACTTTGATCTATTGCAACTGAAGTCAATAAATCGTTCTGGGGATTCCCCCAACAGCGAAATGGGGTGATGGATGCTATTACGCCTTCACCACACGGCATCAGTCTTATAACTGTGCCATGTAATAAGATTATAAACAAATTACATATAAGTAAATTATGTAAATTATAAGTTATAACAGGCTACGAAGCCAGGTAACCGCCAATGAACGTTTGACTCTTATTGGAGCATAGAGCTCTTCTCATTTTTAAGCAATGGTCAGAAAACAGAAGAAACTCTATTATTCTAGTAAGAGTTAGTAAATAAAATACAACGAATACTATCTTCTTGCATGTACCTACATCTTTATACATGCAAGAAGAGACCTACATCGTTTCGTGATTAAGTACAGGAAAATGCGGTCACCCCTGAGGACTAAGATAGAATGCCGGGCAGGATTCCTCGTGTAAATATCCGTCCATATAAACTGAGAACATGGTAAATCATAAGTTTGTTGTATTACCACATTTTGCTACTAACTAATTAGATACGGTTTGTCAATATTTATTAAATTTCAATCGATACCTACCTTAAATTAGAATTTTTATATAAGCATCAAATACAAATTACAAGAAAATTATTAACGATTCACGGTTATTAAGAACAAATAGCACCGCGATTACATAACAGGTGTGCATATTTCGTAAGTAATAAACAGCCGGGCCGGTCTCTACTAACAGTGTTCACTGACAAGGGGAGCTGTGCAGTGATTCGTGTGAACGTTGCCAGGCATGTTCGGTGAGAGGCGATCGGTGCAAAAGCTTCTAGTCAAGCGTGCAACCTCTCCCATTTGACGCGGGTTAATCACTGCAACTGACTACTGGTCAATCAATATTTCATTTCTATGCGTCATTATTGACTTTACTCGCTGCTCGTCATAGTTTTTGTATTCTTAAACATATTTACATAACCCAGCAGATATTTTTTATTAAAGAAATAAGGGTAACAAGCATACAGTTCACTTGATTGT